AAAATGCTGGATGAAAAAAAAACCCAGTAAACCAGTTTCTTTAGATTTGATAAATGCGGAAATTCAACGAACACTTCTACGATAATAAAATGATTGGAAATACTTCATCGATTACGCATGCAGTTCGTGCGCAGGCAAACCAGAGCCAAAAACTGCATACTCTAGAAAATCCGAATAAAAAGTTAAAAAAACAATTTGTTGAAAATCTTTGACCTTATGTGAACTTTATATAAAGTGTGAAACTTTGATTTATATGGTTTATATTATGGAATGAGCTATTTTTTCATAAATAATTAATGCAAGAAACTGTTCACAAAAATAGTTGTGAATATTATATTAGAACAACGTGTACACTTTCATGTGTCTCCTAGTGTAAGTGTCGAGAAGAAAGCAGAGCACAAGCTCGTAGAAATTTTGTCGACACAACACTCAAGTCAAGCATAGCAGAAGCTTGTACATGCAGTATTGGCCAATACGGTAAAACCAAGGTGTATTTGTGGAGCAACGTTGGAATTAAACTGGAGTTGCAGTTGCCTTACTATGAATACAACATACCTGGGGGAGCAACCTAAATTTTAGAGACTATAGGGTCTCCTGTCATTTCTTCAGAGTGCAAAAAAAACATCTATTACTAACTGGCCTTACTTATGACACACGACAGCTCTTCAAAATCTAAGCGTACCGGTCTAATCGATTTTGGATAATTTTGATTCTTACTTATGCCGAATTTCCACTAGGCATTAAATGACAAAATTTGTAATTACAGCGTTGAGCATTAAAAAATAACCTGGTCATTACGTTCATATAAATAGTCATTATGTCTGTTTCCACATAGCATATTTTAATTGGCATACATTTTGTGCAATTTCAATGCCTGGTGGAAACTCGACATTAGTCTATAACTACGGATCATTAAATTTTTGTATCATAGACTCGGTTTAAGTAGAACATATTTATATTGCACTTATGCATACATATCAAGTGCCACTGTTATTGGTTTTAAAATATGTATCTTATAAATTTGTATATGTTTGATAATTTGTATGTATATGTAAAAGTATGTTTCAAATGTGATTTAAATATTTCCCTGCTGTCTAAATTTTGCGAGTTGCACTCTTAGGTCAGGCTCAATTTTGCATTAATACACTTAGATATATATTTTCATTCAAAATTCATTAAACTTCAATATGTTTTCTATAGTCCATACACTACACTGTTTCCTCTTTCAGATTTGAATCGGTTATATGCATTTAGTTTGTATTTTAAAAATATTCGTATGCCAGTATGCAGTTCTCAAGAAAAGCAAAAACTCCATATAAAATTACGTAAAAGAAATGGCTAAGAAATTTTCTTGTGGCAAATTTCTTTAAGACAGTATGCAGTTTTTAAGTAATTTGCTACGCTTACTACTACGGTTTTGTAAAGTTTTTTGTGAAAAAGAGCACAAGGGAAACCATGTTTGCAACAGAAATATATGCCCGTTCCATTATTTCTTGATAAAAGGGTGAGGCAACAGGCTGTGAAGTATCAAAAAATGTCAAAATTCCTTGGACACACACACACGAAATAATGGCAAATTTTTTCTTGACCGTTTTCTTGAGAACTGCATATTGGCCTTAAAACATGAATATTTATGTATGTATGTGCTTTTCCACTGAATAAGTATGTATATATTTTATACATAGCGTATATGCTTATGTAATTATTTTGTTTGTAAATAGATCTTCGGTTATATAGGGTAGTGCACAGCCATTAAAATATTGTATTATATGTTGTGCACTTTTACTTAACAATTTCAATATTAAAAGCTTTTTGAAATATTTACGGACGTATTCCTAAACGTATAAAGCATCAAACTACAGTGTATGAAGATGGATTTCCAATAGCGCAACTAAATTCCTATTCGGGATTTAACCGTGGTTGCACAAGTTGGACATTTCCATCAATTTGCATTGATGCATTTTTGAACAGGGGAAACCTGCCCTAGTTGCGCATAATTGGAAATTTTCATACGAATATTGGTTAAAAAATAAATGTTGCGGTTGGTTTGCATTAATACCTTTGGGAATATTATCCATGTACTATTTTGTATATATTCCACATAAGTTTCGAATTTTCTTAGTGCGCATTTACACTGCGCACACTGTAAGATATATATAGTATATATTTATAACTACATATTTAATAAATCGTTGCCTACATATACATACATATATATAAAGTTATGTAACATTTTAAAGCTTATTTTCTTGTTGCATACGGCTTATATGTAGTAATAACTGGCCCTTTGACATGCATAATTTGTTATACTTCTAAACATTCGCTTGTAACTTTTTTGCATACATATTTCAAATACATTTATGTCCATATGTATATTTTGTATAAAACTAGTTAAAATTATATAAAAACCTAAGTCATATAAACTAGTTGAACATATAGTCACACACATTTGACACTTAAATCTAAATTAAAAGCATGCTTAGGTACCATCCTAAAACTACATAATAATGCAATTGATAAAACGTTTAACAAATATTTGTTAAAACATATCTAAATACATACATAAATACAATATACAATATTACGTACATAAATACATATAAAATAAGCAATTAAAATTGTATAAAAAAGCTATTGGCACAATTATTAAGGTTATTATGCTATTCTTAGTGGGTTTGTTACACACGCAATTTCAATTGATTCATATATGTATTTGCGTTTTTTATTTGAGGCGCTCCATTTACAGCCGCAAATTCGTATTTTTCCCTCCTCTTTCTTATTCACTTAAGAATCTTCGCCAGAGAAGAGCGACTCTTGCTCAGCTGTTGGCGCTAGCGCTCTAGCTCTGGCATTACTCTCCAGATCATCATCCACTAAACTTGAAATATCCGATGCAATTGAATGTTGGTCCAGTGAGTTCGCAACATAAATTACATAATTGTAATATCAAAGTTCATCGCTAATCGGCGGATGCTCATGAACGTACTCTTTGGGAAAGTAGCCGACCTAAAAGGCATTTATAAGAGTTAAGCAAAATTGTGTAAAGTAATATGGGGAGTGACGAGTTTCGAAGACATTAGTAGTAGCTTATTTTGTCATTGGAGTTTTCCTTTGCTAGTGGTTAAGTTAATGGTTTGTTGCCTAAATAAGTCAAACTATAATTGGCATCACTCTTTTTTTTTATAAATAATAAATTTCTTATTATACCTTAAATGATTGCGACAAATTTTTTAATAAATTTCCGCTTAGTATGTTACAGATGAAAATTAAGTTCCTTAAACCTTCTCTGGCACCAAAAATTTTTCACTTATCGGTACTCAAAGTACGTTGACTGTTCTACGAAAAACTGTGATTTCGACACAAAATAGGTTTGAGGCTAAGTATATGATATTGCTTCTGTTTTTTGGGGTTAAAATACGCTCAAATTTCGTAATGTAGTTTCAAAAAACCTTTTGATACGAATTTTAACGATAAAGGGTAGAATTTTTATATTTAATTGATTTGCTTTCAATGGTAAATTGCTTTAAGTCTAAGTACTGATCTTTCCTATGAAAGATCTTTAATGTATGTATGTAGATTAAAAAGTTGTATTGTGTCATACTCCAGATTTTTCGCATTTTTTTTATAATTTTCACGGTGAAGAGTGCAGTTTCTATTTCTACGTATCACCACATAAATAAAATTATGATCAAATATTTATACTTACTTTAGGGAAAATAAAACGCCCGTTTGTTTTCCGGAGGCTTTTTAAAATTGCAGCTAGGACACTTTATATCATAAATTTCACCGACTATTCGGTCCACGTTTGAAATGTGGGAAAAAATTGGCCGTAACAATTGGCAAAAAATTTTTAGATTACGTACAGTTAAAAGCGGTAGGTGTTTACCAGTTCGCACAGCTTTTCAATTTCGGCTACAGTAGCTTTTATTAGAGTAGTTATCTGCGTATGAACCGATAGAGGAAAGAAGAATGAATGTGGCGAAAAACGCCATAGAACGCAACAGAGAGATGCTGCTGGAGATAAGCTTATAATTGAGGTGCCCTAGAAATAGAAACGGTAAGGCATGCTTACGCTGGTCTTTAGATTGGCATAAACTGAGCGTAGTGCATTCATATTAGCTGAGAACTAAAAATCATTATCAAAACGTACGTTTACAAAACGCAGAAAAAACTGAGATGATTGATCTTTGAGAAGAAATTGCAGTAATATTTTTTCTTATACTATTCTACTTCTGCAAAATGGATTGACTTCATGTCTCGTTCACAGAGCAAATGTAAATGGTACTTCCTGCTAATTGTAAGCACTGAATTCCTCCTATTGAACAACATACAACTAAACTCTTGGCTTACTTTGCACGTTTAGATTCATTTCCTATAAGAACTGTACATATTTAAGAAAACATTTGGTGGTGTCATAATTGCCTTCATTCCTTTTTTACAAGCTTTTTCAAGATTTTCTCAAACCCTTAAATTCTAAGTTATTTTCAGAACCTTGCTTAAAAAAACATGTGTAATATGAAACTTAAATAAATACCTTAAAAAGTATGAATTTTATGAATTAAGGAAGAAGCATTATGAGAAGGCCTTCAATTTTTGCCAATCCTTACACATAAGAAAAGAGAAAGGAATGCAGAGTGGAAGGCCTTTTGACTCTCAAGAAGGCCTTTTGGAAGGGCTTTTAGCTCATATGTACAGGCTAATTAAACCAATATACTCACAAAACGAAGATAATAAAAATTTATGAAAAATAAACACTTTAAATCATCGCCTAAGAAGTAAGGTTAAGTTACTTATACCCATCTTACTATTATTGCAACAAAATGTATACCAAAACATTTACAAATTCCTGAATAAGCTAATGTTAATTTGTTTGTACATCTACATGTACATATCAGTAAGTCTGACCATTTTCTATTGTGTAATTAAAAAATTGCATATAAAATATTCAAAAAATTTTTCCCACTCTATATATTAAGATAAAAATTAGTGTAAACACTTACCGTATCACCAATTTTTCCACGCCACCAACCTTTACTATCACCATCTTTACCAATGACCAGCACTTGACAGCCAGTCTTAAGCTGCAATTGATTGCTGCCTTTGGGCTCAAAATCATAAATGGCAGTAGCTATTACTTCGCGGAAGGGCCACTGCAGCGATTGATTAAGACTAAAACGAGATAGAGAAGGGAGTATGTATAAGATATGGATCCAGACTTTTTTCATTATGTGTGGTATAAAATGTTGATCCACTCACCCTGCAAAATTTTCGCCCAAATCGTTGCGTTCATAGTACGAAACTAGTTCGACAATAGTTTTAAAATGACGTCTCGATGAAAGGCAGTAGAGTACTGTATCGCCATCGGGCTCTTGATTAATTTTCATATGTTTAATAACATGATCATCGGTTCTGAAAGGTAAGAATTGGAAATATATTGAAAATGAATCGAAATTTTTGTAATTTAGCAACACTCACTTCAAACTCAGCGCATACATAGTCTCGTGTGGATTGGATGCACCTTGAGGGCGCACGCGCAGCAAATAAGTACCTACACGACGATTTTCAAGACGGGAAGCAGCCGTATCACGATCCATTGTGCCCACAAACCTGAAAAAGAGTCAAAATATATTGAATATACATACATACATATGCACATATGTGAGCCGTTTATTTTGATAGTGGCATAAGCCACTCACACCTCCAGTGCTTAAATGAGTGAATGCATTTTTAACAATTGCTTACCAATTAAACTCTGAAAGTTGCCGATCGCAGACTGGTGGCGGAATACTAAGCGGATTTTGTTTGCAGCGACCCGTCGACGATATGCAACCTTTGTGCACGGCAATTTCGCAAACCTTGCAGCGGTAACCCTGATGTATGCGCCCTTTTAAAAATTTCGAACAATGCCTACATGTTGTAGGTGCATCAAATGTATAAATTTCCATTTTATGATCAGTATTGCGACAACCAGGTGGGTCTAAGTTTTCCCTTTAGCACCAAAAAAAAAACATAAGATAAAACAAAACTAATAAATTTACCTAAAACATATATAAATATACACCCAACTTACATTGCTTCAGTGAGCGCTTTGCGCCACTTATCCCGCTCGGGTTCCGATTTCAAATAAAGTGTGAAAGCGGTTTTGGCAGACTTACGCGCCAACAGCAATTGGCACTTGAAGCGTGTATCCCGCCCTAAGGTACGCCGCGTATGACTTTGTTCCACCCGATAATCGGAGAGGTAGTGCGAGTCACGGTATGTATACTGCATATCGCCCATTTTAGTATGTAGCGGCTTCACTAAAATCAATATTTTATCGAAAACGAATGCGTAACGTAACTTCGTCTTCTGATCTTCATGCGCTTTTATGTGTAATTCACCATCCAGTAGCAGGCGACCATATTGTAGCAGATCATTACTGCCATTTGGTAGCAGATGCAGGTCGATTATGCTGTCCTGTAGCGCGGAAATTGAAACAAATGTGAAATGAAATGTGATCTTCACGATTACCGCATACGCACTTACTTTAACTTTCTGTATAATTACTAAGTGGTCCGAATCACGTTTTACTTCGTTAATATATTGTGACACATCGATCATTGCTTCTTTGGCACGCTCCAGCGCCCGATAATCCTCGTGCACCTATAAACATGAGATTATGAAGTTGGTAAGCTGCTCCTGTACGTACAGTAAAAGTAATAACTTTTAAACTATTAAATTTACGTACCGGTGAGGTTTCTTTGACTAGCTTATCTAACAGTAAATGGTATTTTAGAATTCGCTGCATAGGTACGGATAAAATATCACGCAGTTGCAATTTGCCCACATTATATTCTCGTTCGCATTGCTAGAAAATAAAAATATTAAAATCAAAGAAATTTATACAAATTTTTAAAGTTTATTGACAGTTTTTATGGCCTTTTTCAGTTTAAGGAAACATTACCATTAACTTTTACTGAAACACAAAACTGACCTGTACAAGCTGTTCGATAATCTGGTTCTTCTTGCATACATCAGCAAGCACATCTATGGCACCCAACAGACACGAACAGTAATCTCCATAGAGCAGGAATGGTTCGCGAAATTCCAAAAACACCTGACTCATTTTCAGTTTGGTATTTGGCAAAAGAGATTCACGTAGTTTTTCGAGGAACCTTGTGTGTATATCAGCAAGTTCCTGTAATTCCAAAAATTAAAAAAATTAAAAATATAGGAAAATAAAATATTGTAACTAACGCGTATGCGCGGAAATATTTGTTTGATTTCCTCTGGATTCAGGTAACGTTCAAGTGGCGCCATAAATTTCGTCTTTAACGCATTAAGCACATCCAAATAATTCGATTCGGTATCGATCAGTTCACGTATGACATAGTCGCGTTGCTCAAAACTGGTCGCCGAAGAGATCTAAGTGCGATTTAGAAAAGTATATTAGGAAATTCAGAGTTTTTCTTACATTTTCCTACAAATTCATGCAGGCAATGCACAAAAATCATGCAACATAGTATAAGTTATAAAAAAAATAGAATGTATGTATTTATATGTATGAATTATGAATTTTGAAAACTAAATAATAATCAAGTAAACGTAAAAGCAACGTAAAATGTATACCTGACTTCTACTGTTCCTTTGTAAGGCACACAAGTCTTGATAGACTTCCTCCTCTTTGGTATTGATATGATCATTGTGGCATGCATTATTGTCGGTGGTGCTGTAGTTCATCAATTCGTCAAATTTTAGCGTCAAACCAAGAAAATTAAAGGCACCAATCCAATTTTGTAAAAACCACAAGAAAAAACAAAAACAAAAATTAAAACTATAACCAAAACTAATGCTTAATTCATAAATATACGCTTAAGTTTCTAAATTAAAAAAAAATAATTTAACTGAACATTTTTATATACAAAATTAACAGCTAATTCTTTTTTAGCAAAAACAAATAGTAAATAAGTGTGTTGGTGTTGGTTGATTTTTCCGACAGGGTGGTAACATGATTTATTTTGAAACGAATTTCGTTCCGTGACAAGGGATGCCGGAAATTCGTTCCAAAATAAATCAGTACATAAGTGTTTTTTTTTTGTGATAAGCTCTATGAGAAAACAAATTATCCCAAATTGGTTCAATAAATTAAGCTAAACTACTGTAACACACTGCAAATTAATTTAGCGGGAGGTTTTAATTAGCTCGTATTATCGTATATCGCTAGCTTAGAGTGAAAAGTTGCTAAGTCCACTTTTTATGAAAACTCATATTTTGATACAGGAGGCTAGAGCAATTTAAAATGAATTGTTTCGAAACGGATAAAGGTACATGTTTTATTTACTATCGTTTATATTTAATGAAAGCAAAATTTTCTTAGTGCAAAAAAGCACCGAAGTTCTGATAAGGCCAAAATAGTACGAAATATTTTAGTAAAGATCGAATCCCGCTGATTCGTATGGAGTTTTACTTTGCTTTAAACAGGCAAAATGTTGCATTCAAATTTTGCGAAATACTTGAAGCTAGTGGCTATTAGAAGTTTTTTCCCTCCCTAAGGATTAAAAATTAACGATTAAAATGTTAATAACGATTGACGATTAAAATTACTTAATCGTAATCACCGGAACGGTTAATGATTAAATTCCTATAAATCTATGGTAAGTCCTAGCTACCTCAAACTTGCACTTTGTTATACTAAAATTTAGTGGGCTAAAAAACTGCGTACTGAACTTTTTTCTAAAGTGTGTAAATAAAAAGCGCAATATTTGGATGAAAATTTGCAGAAGTTTCTTTAATTTTCCACAAGGTTTGGAACTCTGATTTTTTGGGTTTTTGTTACAGAATTGACCATATTTTTATAAAAAATAAAACGAACAATAAAATATTTAAAAAATAGTTGCCGGTATTGTAAAAAATTCGCTGTACCTAAACTTTATTGACTGACTGTATGTACATACATACTACGTAGAACTTATACACGAAGTATAATTTTAAAAAATAAATGAAGTGTTAAAAAAAATATTTCTTGGCAGGAAATAGTTGCATAAAAAGAAAAAGTTTAAAACATCTTGCTTTAGTGGAAACCACCATTTTGGGCTTATCGACGAGGACAAAAATCCACACATGATGATTCGATGGCTAAAGGGATGCAGTTACCGCAGAGCACATATGTACGTGTAAAAGGCGGAAAGTCGGAGCTGGAATAACAGATGACTCTTCTGGATATTGTTGTTGTAACAGCATACTAATTTCTCTACGGGTTTTTGGGGAATGATGCTGTAGCGATAGTGAGCCAGATATGAATCTGGGCCGTTCCGGTTACGTAGACCCGACTGTCACGGGAACCTCTGGGTATTGTCGCCGCGGCGACGTCGAGTTTAAGTGTAACAGACATGATTACAACGACCAAGAGTATATACTTCTACTTAGCAACTGCGATTGTAAACTAAATACATACCACAGTCCTTTCTGCTATGTATCTTTTTACGACTACATTTGAAAGATCGGCAGGCTACTTGTCTATTCCTCCAGAACAAATATCCTTAGGTTACATTCACCTGCTGGTGCAATTTGCCTTGATTTCTACGTAGTTTTCTATATTCTATAGCTTCAGTTTTACTTAACGAACAGGAAGTTAATATTGCGGTTTTTGTATATATGTAAACCTTTTTAATATATTTGGTATTTTCGACCACTCTGTATTTTTCCCAGCAAAGCACAACTGCCAACAACTGTTTTCTGACTGCGTGTCTTCCTATCGCACCTCGTACGCAAACCAGGGGCGCTGCTAATCTCAGTAAACAAATGAACAGAGACCGTATGTACAAACATATCACTTAAAGTACAAAAGCGCGTATCAAGATAATGCAAAACCGCGTAAGTGAGGTTGCATAAATTATTTTCTAGAGTATGGCTAGTATATTTCAGGACGAATGGATAAGGATTGAGCTAAGAGCTTGTGTGAGCAAATCGAATTTTTGGCAGCAAATGTCAGTTGCGCGATTTTGCAGAACGATACGCGGTTTTGCAATTTAACGACGTTATGTATGTATCCATATAAGTTCTCAATCCCAGCTGAGCGTTTTTACGTTCTTTACCAGCAGAAGCGACCCTGTTATGCAAATATGCCTCCAAAACGTAATGTCAAAAAAATGCATGCGGATTATCTTTGCTAACGATTCTGACAGCTAAGTTCTCGAAATTCCACATTTGATAGAAAAGTGCATCGCAGATTCCATGAAAATCATACAAAAATAAAATTATAACAATAAACAATTAAGTTTGGATAAACTGCAACTATAGATGTAATAAGAATGTAATGCTGCATTAGTTGACGATGGAATTACACTCCTATGCGAAACGAAAAGTGGCGAAAAAATGTGAGCTGAAAAATCACCAATTGTAAAGTGTACATAATTTATAATTTCACGAATTCCGAAATGTACTTTTGCAGGGTCTACTGATCAGAAGCGGCAACTTGTTGAAGCTCGCATCGGTCATGATGGGCTTTTCACGAACATGCCAACCGCTAGCGTTGCGCCTTGGAAGTAAGTAGCGACTGACCTAGGTTTGTACATAGCACATAAACTTTTTTTATTATGTCTAGGAAAATTGTGAGTTTGGCCAAGTTGGATGACTACAATGTGTTTTTTGTGCGAAAGCAATGGTCGAATATGGTTAACAAATACAAGCAATACAAGGTACCTAGGATTAAGAATTCTGAATTCTTAGTGTTAACACTATTCTGATTAGCATACAAACGTGCTTTTTTACTTGTATATATATATATATATATATGTATGTATGTATATTCTTCTCCTGCAGCAAAATCGTCTGGATATCATACCGAACGGATCCCAAGATGAAGAAATAGAAAAAATCACGCAGGAATGGGAATTTTTCGAACCAATACACCGCTTTATGTCACACAAAACCACAAATTTGCATTCGTATGCGCTACCAATAACTATACGACTACCATTGCCGTCATCAGCACGTGAGGATTTACAAGGCAATCATAGTTCAAATTCCTCCGCAGATGGTCTTGACGCATTCAGTACCGATACAAATGATGATTTGAACAACTCAAATGACGCCATCGAGCTTAAGATGCAACCAAATACTGATCATGATTTTTATACAAAGAAAAATGCCATGCCATTGAATTATTTCGCTGATGTAAGCAATGATACACAAGAATCCATGTTCGTAGAACAGCCTATCACTTGCAATGGTGTAACTGAAGGTATGGAACAAGTAAGATTGCATGTAGCAGGTGAACAAATTGTGGAAATGAAAATGGAACCACAAACCGATACAGAGAAGACTGCAGAGCAAGTACAACAACAAACTTATATTGATACAAATATGCACCAAATGCCCAGCACATCTGGTAGCCGCCTTAGGAATTGTCAAAGTCGCGTAACAAAACGGCAACTTAGTGAAAGAGATCGTTACTATCGACATAAGCGACGCTTTAATCGCCGTCTGGAGAAACGTTTCGATGCAATTCTAAATGTATTTGGACAGATAGTAAATGCAGAGTATCCAAATATCAATATAAGTCCTATAATGGGCGCAGCAATGCAAACTGGTACGTTGGTAAATCAACTGTTCAAAAGCGAGGATGACAATGATAGTGCTGATGAGGAGAACGAATCCTCAACCGATACGGAACAAATGCAATGTACCACCGCCGTAGCAGATGAAACTAATGAGGAATTAAACAAAGATATACGACAAGAACACCAGTCAAAGAAAATGTGAATAGAAAGGAAGAACGAGTAGTATTCATCAATGGATTATGCTGTTGAGAAAGGGATTATAACGTTTGAAGAATATAATAGTATTTTCGAAACAAGTAGCTAGAAAAAAACTAAAAATGGGAGTCGATAGAGCTGTTTGGGCTGATTATAACGGAACTCAAATTTACTTGCAGAAATTAAAACTAAGCGAGATGGCGAAGGTCAAATTTCGAAATTCGCTGTTGAAAAACCGTAATATCTCAAAAACTAGTAAAGCGTTTGTAAAAGTTAAGAAAAATTAATACACCTTTCTTTTGGTGTGCATTTCTTGTACCTTGCGTTTCTAATTTCTGATAAAAATTTGTTTATATAAAAAATATATGAAAAAGTTCCATTTAAACTGCTTTTTCTTCAAAACTAGCCTTATTAGGACACTGTTGTCGTACTTTTGGTATAAAGAAAATTAATTTCCCTTTCGTTTGATATGCGTATGTCTATACCCAAGTTCTCGGTGCAAATCTTATATATAAAAATAAGTGCACGTTTTTGGTGTGACCTCATAACTTGAGAACGGCTTCACCGAATTCAACCAATTTTATGTGGCATATTCGATCTATCATGCAGATGGTTTATGCGAAGTTTGCCCGAATTCGGAAAAGGGGGCGTGGCACCACCCATACTAACTAAAATATGAAAATAAGTGAACGTTTTTGGTGTGACCATATAACTTAAGAAGGGCTTCACCGAATTCAACCAAATTTATGCGGCATATTCGGGCTATCATGCAGATAGTTTATGTGAAGTTTGCTTGAATTCGGAAAAGGGGGCGTGGCGCCTCTATTTTATATATAAAAATTTGTGAATTAGCTTATAAATTGAGAACGGCTTTACCGAATTCAACCAAATTTATACGGCATATTCACGCTATCATGCAGATGGTTTATGTGAAGTTTGCCCTAATTCGTAAAAGGGGGTGTGGCACCTCCCATACTAACTAAAATTTTTATGTTGTATATCACTTGAAATATTTGTGGTAGAGTACCGGAAATTGGTATAGAGATATATCAAATAATTCCATACTCATGGAGAAAAATGGGCGGTATTGGAAAAGAGGGCGTGGCACCTCCCATCTTATATATAAAAAATAAGTGCAAGATTTCAACCAAATTTATACGGTATAGTCGGGCCATTATGCAGATGGTTTGTGTTAAGTTTCCCCGAATTCGGAAAAGGGGGCGTAGCACTATCCATACTAACAAAAATTTTCATCTGGTATATCTCTTGAAATATTTGTGGTAGATTACTGGAAATTGGTATAGAGACATATGAAATAATTCCACACTCATGGAGAAAAAATGTGCGGTAATGAAAAATGGGGCGTGGCACCTCCCATCTTAAATAAAAAAATTAGTGCACGAATTCTACCAAATTTAAACGGTATATTCGGACTATCATGCAGATGTGTTATGTGAAGTGTGTTCGAATTCGGTCCAGCGGTTCATGATATATGACTGTTTATGTCTGTCACATGAACCACGTATATAGTACAACAGCAGATATGAAAAATCGAAAACATAGTGACCAATTGTTGCTATGATGTGCTGTGTTTATTTTTTCTTCGGATAAATTAAGTCAAGTATAAACATGGCTGCAATATAGTAAAAAATAAAAAATTCCATATAGAAAAATTCCAGGATTTTTCAATATTTGGTGTAGAGAAGCACACCGGGGTACCGCTAGTAAATTTTATATAAAATTTGTTTTCATAAACTTTTCAATGCTTATCCGACTATGCCATTCATACTATTTCAGAGGGTGTATAACATAATCCAGACAATAAGACATATGCCATAAATTGCACACCACCTTTTGCAAAGAATTTAGGGAGTAGAATTCTTCTTTCTGTGTTTGATAAAAAAAGAGGGACTGAACACCTTTTGCAGAAATCATCTTTCTGCGTAGGCGGCATGCGGCCGCGCTTAGGGATTATAACTCTCACTAAGTAGAATACTCCTTTCTTTGTTGCCGAAGAAGAGGGGCTGAACACCTTTTGCACAGAACACCTTTCTGTGTAGGCTCTTTCAAAAATATACAATTTCATAAAATTTCAATGTCTATTTATCATAATGCTCGAGCGTTAGACGAACCCATACGCATAAGTAGCCCATTACGCCCATTTGGGTACTTAAAGTTGACATTATAGACAATGTTTTTATCCAAAAATAAAAATTGTTAAAAATGCTAAAATAAAAAAAAAACAAAAAGAAAAATGTTTACATATTTTTTTTTGTACACGTTGCACATTAATGTAAAAAATGTACAATTAAAGCCCATAATAAGACGAAAGAAATACATTTTTTATCATTAAGTTTCGTTAAAAGGTTTCCAAGATACAGCACTTTAAAGAAAGGTGGCCGCGGTGACATGAAATGCCTCATATGCCTTACATCAAACAAAAGAAAATCAAATATACATTTCAGAAAATATATTTGTGAGCTATGTTAATAAGGCGTTTTTTGGAAAAAATTTCTGCAATATAAAATTTGTATATGTGTGCTCAGCACTTAAAACTCTATTAAACCCCATTCCTCGTTTTTCTCTATCGAAACGGTGGATATTCTTTACTTATGCCGTATTTTCTTATGTTTGAGTGTATGCCTATTATAAAAATGTTAAATTAACAAATACAAGTCGTCCTCGTATTAATTTAAACATTGCCTGAATCATATGTTGGGACTAGAATAGGCTCTCAAACTACATATACCTATGTAAGTGTAAGCCGTTGTTGTAGCGGCTTTAACAACCCTGCCTAGATTGGCCAGTATCTTAGTCGTTGTCGTCAAGGTCAACTAGCGGAAGACGCAAGAAGCGTGCAGCTCCTATAGGGTCGGTCCACAGGGACAGAAGAGTTGCTGTGTAGGGTTTGTGGGCATGCGAAGAGATATTTGAAGTAATGGGGTGTCTCTCCGCATGCCGGGCACTCATTACGCACATCTGCATCTAGTCTGCTCAGGTATGAGTTCAACCTGCTGCAGTAGGCAGAGCGAAGTTGGGCTATTGTGGTCCGAATCTCCCGAGACAGATGAAGCTCGTCTCGTCCACGTCAGGTGGTTGTGTGCCCAGAGAGGCATTCACAGGGAGTCGGTCTCAAGGCCCCCGTTCGGGGCCTGTTGATATGCTGTCGGGTCCAGAGGCTGCTTTACGAACCTCTGGTTTTCGTCCGTGAGTTCGTATAGATGCCCTCTGGCATGCCTTGGAGAGGGCTCCTCTGTTTAGGTATCTACGTCTGTGGCTCCCTAATAAGAATTGCTTGCAGAGCATTGTGTTGTGCTTTCTTATGGGGAGCATTTGCGCAGCAGAAGACATCCGGTCGCTGCCCAGAGTGCTGTGTTTTAGGTCATCTGCAGCTTCATCCAGTGAGGACCTTGTTTCGGCTCTGTTCTTTGTTGATAATTGCGGTTGTATGCGCAGAGAAGGAGAGCAGACTGTCGAAAGTTACTCCGAGTATTTTCGGGTTATTCAATGTCGGAATTGGTGTGTCATCAACGCGAATACCCAGCGGTAGTCTAACCTCCTTTGTCCAGGTGGTTGTTGTTGTAGTAGCGGTTGTACAGGTGGTAAACAGAGTAGCTGAGGATTTTTCAGGGGAGAGGATTAGGCTCCTAGTAGTGAAGAAGCGAGAAAGATCGGATCTATTCTCAGACGCCATTATCGAACAATCGTCAGCGTAGAAGACAATCGACACTCCCTCTGGTGGCTTAGGGAGCTTGAAAATGTAGTAGTTAAACAGTAATAGGGAAAGGACACCACCCTGTGGAACCCCCTGTTTAACTTTTCAAGGTTTGCTCCATTTGTCTCTTAAAAATACTGACGAGTGTCGACCACTCAGATAATTATCTAATTAAAAATTAATTGTAATTTGCCGACCACCGTTTGGGTGTAGTAGCGTGGAGTGACTGACGGCCTTCCACAGATCCACCGCTACTAGAATAGTTGCGGTTTAGGTCACGTGTTATCTGAGTGTTTATGGCCTTAAGTGCTCTTGTTGTGTTGAGCACTTTACGGAAACCATGCTGATGCTTTGCTGGGGTCAGGTGGTTCTTAAAATACAGAAGTAGCAAGACCTCTAGTGTCTTCGCTACCTGGGAAAGGAGTATTATCGGGCGATAAGACGCTGCGTTGTTGGCTATTTTCCCCAGTTTGAGCAGTGGGATCACTCTCCCCTCCTTCCAGATGTCTGTAATGAAGAGAGTGGCCATTGGCAGGCTGAGAACTTTGGCTAAATAGTCTACTCCTGCAAGACCAAAATTTTTCAGCATCAACATGCATGTTCAGTCAGTGGCGGTGAGCGGCGTCGCAGTTTGGGCTTGCGACCGTGCAGCGGAACACGAAAATTCCTCCTCCAATCTCGCGTGGTGCGCAGACCTTAACATGCCCTGAAGTGGCACCAGCCAAGGCAGGTGTTGCACTTGACTGATGCCACTTTACGGAATATCTTGGTCTGACATACCGTGCATATTGTTAGAGGAACCAGGAGTTGTTGCCGGCGGCGTGTGGGTAGTGGTGCGGTTGTGTCTGTTGTTTGGTCTATTGTGTTGTGTGGTGTTTGTGTTGAGCTGCTCAGGCAGACTGCGATTTGCGTGGAAGCAGCTGTGTTTGCGCAGCAAGGGGCCAGTGTCGATGTGTCCGTAGACCTGATCTGACCCTAAGGTGACTCCACCCGTTGCAAACATTGCACTTAACTGAGGTGGAGTTGTGGTGTAGTTGTCTCTGGCATACATAGCAGGTGTAAGTTCCTGGGCCGGGGTTTGACTCGATGCCAGCCCTGAGCAGAAGAATACGTAGCAGATGCAGACCTATGGACGAACTACGTCAGAGATATTTCATCGACATAAACGGGTCTAGATCGCCAAAACAACAGCCCTTGGTCGGGTAAAATCCGTGTAATTCCGTTAAGTAGAACCGACTGTCGTGGGAATGAAGTGTATGAAGTGTACATATACATATATCAGTTTAGCCCAAAGTATTTATTGTCTAGCTCAACTAACGGATTTGCTGAGGATGGTCACACTTTCGTTCCTCGAACGCGTGATGCAGGCAGAGTCGACAAAATTTTAGCGCAGTACGTAAAGCTCTTTCACATAAAGTAAAACTGTCTCATTTAGTGCAGCTTCGACAAAGTCAGACCGAACGGAAAGTGGTATTAGTGAAGGGGATTTCAAGGACTAGTGAAGTGATAGAGTATAAGAGTAAAACTCCACAACAAGCTTTTCAGGGTGGCTTTCGGCGCTCAAACCGTAAAAATAGCTTGTTGTGGAGTAATACTCAAAGGGCTGTTTGCAACATATCTGGTTATTGCAACTCTGAGCTAAACATCGCTATCGATCCTATCGGCTCCATGCCCATAACATGGAGTCGATAACGATGTTTAACGGAGAATTAGTGTTAACGCGGCATAGTGAAAACTGCCCTATCTGACTTGAGGGGTTCCTTTCCAAACTGAACACATTTCCATGGTTACTATGCCCGACAACTCCGTATAGCTTTGTGAATTCACTTCCATAGCGCGCTCTTACTCTGCTGCTATAATTGCAAATGCAATAGAATCCACCGTTTCCTTCAAAATATGTAAAATCAAGCAATTTTACCATAGCAAGTCTATTCTGCGCTGGTAATAAAAATTTTGTAACCGGTAAATAAGTTCCTCTCAATTTTTAAACCCTCTTCGCATTTTGTGTACTCTTGAAATCGGTAAATTTTGTTACCGTGTCATAAGCTGGTAACAAAGTATTGCCCCGTGAAAAATGCTATGCCAGAATTTCCACAATTCTTCATAGCTGAATTGCTGAATATTTCAACTGGATTAACAACATACCTAGATTCGCGGTGACAAGAACTGATAACATGTTTTGATAATAAAATTTTTCGGTTACAAAATTTTCGGTAACGTGCAGAATAGACCTGTAAATAATCACTTTATGAATTTTTTTTTTTTAATCCTTTCCACTTTGTTTTCCATCATACAGCTGTCTTCGAAAAACCACTGATAGCTGGCAATGCTGTACAGGTTTCCGCAAGGGTTGCAGCATGTCGATTTTTCGTTTTTCGTAACGTAGCTACGAATTACGTATAACGAAAATTCGGGTTCTAGAATAAGGGTGTAAATTTTCTTCTACAATTTTCTGCAATTTACTTTAGAAAATATTTGAAAATGGTGCGCGACCAGGCTGGTTCAGAACATAAAATAACAACATGAAGGGGACTATTTTTAAAACTTAATAGCAAGTGAAATGAATGAAAAAATTAATTTTATTGAAAAAAAAGTATGAAATTCAAACGAGCCATATTCATGCAATTACAAGATATTCTACACAAGTTCAAAAATGAATAAAGCCGCATGATTGTGAGATGAATACGAAATGAAGAATTAAAAAATTTAAGGGCAATAAAAGACGTTGGGGAGTAGGAATTGATTCATAAATATTTTTTACAAAACAAAAAACGGAGATTGCACTTCATTTACATACTCAACAGCAAAACGATTAGAAGAAGGTATTCTACAGATACTAAGCAAACAGAACACACTCAAAAATACAATGTAAGCAGAAGCACGCATGGTCCTGAATCCGAACGCCAAGGGACGTGGTAGGTGCATACGTGCTCCTGAAACAGGTAACAAGCATTCAAGTAACAATGAAATTGTTGCACCAAAACAGAAGAGCGTATGTGATAATAAAACAAAGCTACTATAACAACCATTGAGTTAAACGAGCCACTGCATATATGAATATGTGAAAAAGTATATAAATACATATGTAGGTAAGTGCGCGCCTACATACAGACTAGCACATTCACATATTTGCATACGGAGGAGTATATGCAAAATATGGTGTGAATATTTTGCATATTTAAATTTACAAGTGTGTAAGTATGTATGCAGCAGTGGCAGCACCTACTAAGAATATATACATACATATTCTCATATATAATTTGGAGGAAAGGATGCAACAAACAATAAAATACTGTGGTGCGCACCTCAGTTGACTTCGAAGAGAACGTGACGTAGCATAAGTCCTCGTAAACTTTTTCATCCTCTTCAAAATAAATATCATTGAGATACTCATGGCCACCTACTTCTCTAGCTGTTGCCTGGTAACTCCACGCTGTGGCGGCTAAACGCTGTAAACTTTGGTTGTCCGTCGAACCCGAATGGCTGCTACCCAATGATGTGATAGTGCCTCTAACGCTATCGCCAGCACCGACGCAGCCTTGATAATCCCGGCTATTTATGCCACTCAAATTGCCAACTGTGGCACTGCGCATATGCGTATTCGACGAGTAATTACTGGATGCCATAGTAATGCCTGAGCTACCGCTGTTTACGGAATGCTGCTCGTCGTCGAAGTTTTCAAATAAGTTGGAAAATAGATCCTCTTCATAGTCCTCGGTATCTTCCGTACCATTCTCGATCGTTATATCGCTATTTTCATCTTCCACGGAGAGTGAGCCGCTGTGTGAGGCCCGATCATAATATTCTGCCGGTCCATCCAGACTGCCGTTCTTTTTCGGTTCACTGCTGGCGGCGCATGGCCAAAATACGCAAAAAAAAAAAAATATCGAAAAACAAAGTGTTGAAGCGTGCGAAAGTGCGTGTGCATGCGTGCGATATTTGTAAGCATTCGATACATGTTTAATTAGTAGATCGATTATTTAATTTGTTGATTGGGCATTTGATTGATTGGGTGGTTGGTTGTTTCACACAAACGCGCAGAGTGATGGCAGCGGTAAAAGTATGTGCGATAAGTAGGCAGAAAATAGGAAGAAATAGCAAAGTATATGGAAACAGAAAAATGAGAAGTATGTATTTAAGTATGTATGTATGTATGTAAGAACATACTTTATACAGAAATACATATAATAAAACATATCTACATATGTGGGTAGGTTTAGTAACCGGTAGCTAAATGCACGCCTATTTTTAGAGAGAAAACAATTTTTAATGCTAAAAATATTTTCTTGGAACTAACGCATTACTGCTCTTCGTGCAGCCAAAGCCCACTAACAGTAATTTAAAAAGAGGTGAGTGTGTGAGCGGGTAATGCCAGAGAAGCTCACTGTCGTTGAAGGATTTCATTGTTTTAGAATAAGCTTACAACTAAAAATGGAAACAGGATGTCTCTATAATATTTGTATAAGATTTCATTTGCTTACGTCGAATGTAGATCCTTGTAAATGGCCTCATCGGAGTGGGAGCGTTCGCTGGGAGAGAGTTGAATATTGAAGCCACTGAAAAATAAGAACATAAATAAACAAAACAAAACGAAATTAGTGAAATGTTTGTATGCATGTATTTAGCATGAATATTAAATTTAAAATTTTATTGTACGATAATTATTAAAATTATTAAATTAGTTAAATAAGTATATGCTGACTTCCAACTTACAATAGATAAACAACAACAAACAATTGAACGCAGCCGACACCACTGTCGATATAGGAAATCCGACGTAACTACCACAAAGAAATTCAGGCGTATGTTGAAGGAAGTCAGAATAAGAAGAAATATAAGTATATGTCCTGTTTTGTTTTCCACTTGAAATGATTTTAAAAAAATATGTTCTAAATGCAACCGTGGACGCCAGCTGACACTAAAGCTTCTGCAATTCCTCTTTGGGAGAGTAATTTACCTTATTCTCCGAATTTTTTTACTGGTTAATTCTTTTCGGCTTCTCCAAATGAATACAACTACTACTAATCAATAGTTGTGTTTTCGTTTTTACCAACAAAAAACTATCCAGTACCAAATTTCGGAGAATATGCCAATATTTACTCCCAATGAAAGAAATATGCAAGAAAGTACGAAAACGAAGCAGCAAGTAGTTGCAAGTTTTACGAACAGCTGAATAATTTGTTATTTTTCGAAGCAATTTTCTAAGAAAAATAGTATTTCTCATCTTATTATATGGGCGATTCCACCGTCATGGGTGGGACATTTGTAAAGAAAAAATGTTCTTTCTTGTTTAAATTTAAGTATAAAGTACTCAACAATTCGAGATTTTGATAAAGCTACACCTAGTTGACTATTATATGAGTCATTATAAAATACGAATAAAATTCCAGCTTACATATGGAAAAAAATCTGAGTTATTTCTTCTGTCACGAGTGGGACAAATAAAAGGACCTGCTTTTTGGAGCAGATATATTTTACGAGAACTCTGCGAATTTATTTCACTTTTCTGTGTGAACTTGACGTCTTTATAACAAAACAAAGAACCACGAATAAGTACAAACAAAGCAAAGACTACAACAAAAATTAATATAAATAATAGATTTAAAAACTTAAATTTAATATAAAAAAAATCCAAAATTTAAGTTTTAAATGTGGATGTTTGTGGTTCTGGTTATTTAATGTGCTAGACTTTTATAAAAAAAAACGATAAACATTAAATAAACAAAAGAAAAAACCAAAACTGGTCAAAATGTCACTTAACTTAATCAGCTGACCACAAGGGTATATAGGTAATGGGCGAGTCCACGCTGCCCCCCTCCTCCCCTGCATTCACCTCAACAAGCAAATTAAGGTTATCAATCCTGTAAACCTACCTCTGACAACTGTCCCACTTCTAGCTGTCACGGTTGGGACACCAATACTGGTTAATAATAACTCATAATATAGATAAAGCACTCACACAATTTAATATATGTATAAAACGATTTTATTAAAAGCAGATGAGTTCTACTACATATATATTTTTCTTACCAAACACTTGAATTATGAATCGCAAATTTTTTGACAGTTCTTTCGACACAACCTACATTAAACTCACTCCAAATTTACTTAGAACTTGGATTTCAAAACGTAAAAAAGGTAATAAAAATGCATTTAAAGCTTTAATTTGTTATTTTTTGGTGGATTCAAGATTTTTACAAATGTCTTATCCACACGTTTGTTAGTTTTATAAAGAAAGTAATTTTTACACGGAGGTTCAGTTTCTCATGGAATCTCCCATATATTTAAATAGGTTTATCTTGTCAATTGCAACTATAAAAACCCCACCAACAATTTTTTTGTTAGTGTAAATCGCTTAGTCATGCCATCAGCTGTTTTTCTTACTGGCAAATAGTTACTAGTAAAAATGTATCTGTAGTAGCAGGGCTTCGGGGTGTGCAACTATAGTAACTCGAATATGCTTAAATCCTATTCTTGCGCACCTTGGGCAACATGAGCAGTCCATGTGCGAGATTGGGTAACCAAAACGTATGGAGCCGTTTTTTGCCGCTACCCCGACTTTTTTGGTCTAAAAGCTGATTGAAATTTGCAGGAACTGTCCACCGCGAGATGCTACTGCAAGAGTGTCTGTCTTTGTACTAGAGTCATGCTATATAAACGTGTAGCAGTTAAAAATAACATATCGTTACTAGACACGAATAAGGGCGTGTTAGTGTTTTGACGGCGAAAAAAGACGCAACAAAAAAAAATTACGAAAAAAGACGCTTAAGAAAAGCTTCGGCGAAGAAAGACTCGTAACCTAGTTGAGGGCGAAGAAATGCGCGTAAACATAGATTTATACACGGCCAAGGACTGTCCCTTCAAACATAATTGACCACGAAAATAATTTTACGCGTCTTTCTTTGTCGTCAAATAGGTTAACAAGTCTTTTTTCGCCACCAACTTTTGAGCACGCGCCTTTATTCGTGTCTAGTGATATGATCTGTTTGAGCGTTGGATTTAGGACTCGGCAGCTTAAGCAAAGTTACAATGAAAGTTAAAATAAAGCATTGGATGTGACCGCCTTCTTTTATAAAAAGACCACTGTAAATGTTTAGAGGGCTATGAGTTGAGGGCATGGACTTACAATGTTCGGAGACTTAACCCTCTATTCTAACAGAGTTACACAAGTTATCTCATAACTGTTGTCTATAAATCAAGATGTACCCCCAAAATTCAAATTTAGGTGCTAGAAAAATACACAAAAGCTTAAAAACTTATGTTATAGCGGCAAACTTTGAGGAACAGCAGAAATCACAGCCGCGATGAGCTAAAGTTTGTGACTTTGTAGAATACGGCGGTTAATCGATGATGGCAGCGGGAAGACTATGGGTGGCATCGCCGCCATCACCAAAGCGATTGACGAGCCAAAAAACATGTGGTGGCTTGCGACGGTCTACTACAGGTGCCAGGATAGACAAAGAAGGTATCATTTGTCTTATCGTTATTAATTCAGTCTCCACGGAAAACGCTCTATTGCAGACTGGGGCTGTTTGAATTCCGCGGGGCCCCGAGCCTGTAATATGTCACTTGGTTCTAGCTACTTGGCTGTTTCTAGAACGAAAATCGTGGAACCAACTCGATGGCGTTGGACCGAGGACCAAACATCGACACGGATCACTATCTTGTTGCAGCCAAGATACACACTTGCCGATGTGCGCAAAAAAAGTGCATCCAGCAACACAGGGAGAGCTCGAAATCAAAAAGCCGCAATCCACAACGGATAACTCACACCTTCTCTACTCAACTTCCACACCTGCTCTTTGAGAAAACACTTCCAAAAAAAGATATATGTGGCACCGAATCTCCCGCTCACTGTGCACTGCTGCCCAAGATGTAGTCGGATTTCAGCGAGCCGCAAAAGAACAATTGGTACGGTGTGGAATGCCACCACGCTGCAGAGTAAAATGATACCACCTACGGGGCCATGCTGCGAACGGAAGCAATACGAGCTATGTGGTGAGTAACTAAAAGAGCGACACCAGAGAACGTTGGTACGTAGAGCTTGAAATGCTGGTCGATAGGAAAACGCCTAAAAATTAGAGTAGAAAATGAGGCGACTTACGACCACGGCGGTAGTGTGGTAAATCCATCATTGATTAGATATCCACAATGCGTCAAAACTTGAAATGGACCCGCTAGAACAAGATCGACACTCACCATCTTTATTCCAATTCCAAAGCCGCTTTCGAATGAGATTTATTTTCTCAGCCCATATAATCTATAAATCGCATGATGCATACCTCTGGAGGCATATAGCTATAGTACTGAGAAGTGGTATTTTATCGAACCCAAGTTACTGAATTTAAGTTGCAAATATTAAGAACCCGCCGTGACACCTGTCAGAAGGTTACACGTTCACGCGGCGTACCCCCGGAAATATTTTAAGGTAAACTTAGGGGGATTGATATCTTTCGTATGCCTAGCGCGCAGACTTTATAAATTCATAGTTTTAAACGGCCTAAATACCTCAACTCGCTTAAAAATTATACAACATTAACTAAAGCAGTACAGAAATAAAATTTTACATTTTAAATAATTTTTCAACGTAGGTGGAAACGCTAAAAACTCTAAAAAAAATATCCTCATATTTAACAGTTGTTTTTTGGCCTAATGTACGTACATTCATACATATGCACGAACATATTGATATTTAATCGAAGTGAAAAGCCAAGCCAGAACATTGACTCTTCTCTCTCTTCCACAGAGACTCAAACGGTGGTCGGCGAATTATCTGAGTGGTCGAGACTCATCAGTTATGTTTATAGACAAATCGAGCAAACCTAAAAACTAAAACAGGGGGTTCCACAGGGTGGTGTCCTTTCCCTATTACAGTTTAAATACTATACTTCCAAGCTCCCTCAACCACCAGAGGGAGTCTCGATTGCCTCTTACGCTGACGATTGTTCGATAATGGCGTCTGGGAATGGAATTGAACACTTGTCCTCGAAAGTAAACGGTTGCCTAACCCTCTCCCCAACAAAATCCTCGGCTACCCTCTTTACCACCTGGCCGAAGGAGGTCAGACTACCGCTGGGTATTCACGTCGATTACACACCAATTCCGACGATGAATAACCCGAAAATACTCTGAGTAACTTACGACAGTCTGCTCTCCTTCTGTGCGCATACAACTGCAATTATCAATGCAGTACAGAGCCGCAACAAGGTCCTCAAGTCGCTAGCTGGCAACATACAAGGCAACTGGCCGGCCGGTTCTAAATTACGCAGCACCAAAGTGGTCGCCGGGGACCAGTAAGACGCAGTGGATGAAGCTCCACACGACTCAAAACACAGCACTCCGGACAGCGGATGTTTTCATCATGCCTGCATGACGAAGCGGTAATACTCCCCATAAAGGAGCAAAACACAATGCTCAGCAAGCAATTTTTAGTAGGAAGCCAGAGACGTGGACACCCGAACAGACACTTGCTTGCAGAGAAGCCTTCGCCAAGACATGTCAGAAGACATCTATACGAACTGACGTATGAACTCCAGAGGTTCATAAAGCCCTCAGCGGCATTCGCAGCGAGTCGGTCTCAAGTTATGTAGACTCCAGACCTGTGAATGCCATTCTGGGCACACAACCTGACGTGGACGAGCCGGAGCTTCGTCTACTTCGTCTTCCTCGGTACACTCGGACCACAATAGTCCAACTTCGCTCTGGCTAACAGGTTAAACTTGTACCTGAGCAAAGTAAATGCAGATGTGCCAAACGAGTGCCCAGCATGCGGAGAGACATCCCACGACTCGAGACATCTCTTCGCATGCCAACTGAACCCCACTCTACTAACGCCTCTGTCCTTACGGACACGCTGTACGCTTCTTGGGTCTCCCGTTAGTAGAGCTTGACGACAATGACTGAGATACTAGCCGATCTGGACGGGGTTGTTGTAGCCGCTATAACCACAACAACGAGTCAATGTTCATTAATTGTTTGTGTTTTGATTAAATTAAGGACTGTTTTACGTCGAAGAGTTAATTTGCATGCGACAGTAAACATTAAATTTTTTGCTGATACATATTTAAATATATGAATGTATTAACTTCATTCCATTTCAATTAATTCTATTTGATTAAATTACGTAGCTTTTAATGTTCACTAAATACTCACATTAAATCCGGATGTAGTTGTTGTACTTTGCGGCATTGCGATAATTTCGAGAGTGTTATCAGCACACGATGAAAATTCGTCAAATCGTACAACATTGTAGGCTCGAAGAGATCTGAATCCCGAAGTCCGAAATGGTTGCGGCAAACATCCAGAAAAAGTTTTATATTTTTACAGCATAAAAACTGAAAATAAATTGCAAACGTTAAAATGATAAATGCAAATGTCGATCTGTATGTAGTCATATGTATGTATGAACATTAGGCTGGTCCAAAAACAGTAAAGTCGGAATTGAAATGCTCACACCTCCTAGGATTGTTCTATGTCGAAAAAAGTATACCCCTATTTTTTTAGTTTGAGGTCGCTTAAAGCGCTCAAAGTTTTCCATGTATTTTTTTGTGGGAAAAATAAAATTTTTCGTAGAAATGGTATAGAATTATTGAAAGTCAATATTTTTCGATCGGAAAACTCTTGTTCTCTTCATAAGACTTTCAATAATAGTACCCAATTGTTTATTTAACCATTTTTTAATACTAACGATTTTTTATTGGCCGCCCCATTGCATTTTTCGGCGTTTTTGTGTATTTTTGGCGGACCTATAAATTATAGTTGCGATGAAAAAATGGTTAAATAAACAATTGGGTATTATTATTGGGAATCTCCTACAGATAAACAGAGTTTTCTAGTAGAAAAGTATTGATTTTTACTATTCTATACCATTTCTACGAAAAGTTGTTTTTTCCCCATATAAAATACATGGAAAACTTTGGGCGCTTTGAGCGACCGCTAAATATTTTTTGATTTAAAAAAAAAAAATAAGGGTCTATTTTTTCGGTATAGAACAATCCTAGGGGATGAGACCATCGAAATTCCGACTTTACTTTGTCACATGCATGCTTGGCCACCCTAATGAACATACATATGTATAAGCAATGTTGAAGAAAGCAAAATAAAAAATACACAGAAAAAGGTCTTAAATGTATTTGCAAGCAGAAAGTTTTCAAGTAAAGTACATTTTCGCACAACAACCATAAGCCAAGTTGAAAAGAATTGCAATTGAGGCTAAAGGTAGGGAACGTGTGAATAGTACACGGAATAAAAAATTACGGCGCCATTTGTAATTTGCAAACCAGCAATGCTCTCAACGCAATTGCAAAATGACCAAATTAATGCAAACCACAAACGATGAAAAGCCAAAAGGGAAGAACATCCAAACCATAGGCAAAACTTTTTGCCAAGGCTTAAAAATGTACTGACTTGATGAAGAAAGAAAACAGAATTCAATAATGTTCAACTTTCGGCTGGTATATTTTCCTCCAGTGAATGTAGCTATTCTTGGAAGTAAGTGGAAAGGATTTTATGTTTTTACAACAATAAAAGCATGGCAGACACTTAAAAATAAGTGATGACATATATAAACTGGGCACATCACGATCCTCTCGGAAATTGGGTATCTCCCAGTAAAATTCCCCGCTTAACTAGTATAATTCTGGTACTTTTGCATCCTCTTGAGCACCCCAAAGGGGGAGATCTCTACCCACCTTTATGAGTTATAACAATGAACCTATTATTGCTGGGCGTGAAGCTCGATATTTCAGTGTCAGTTCCCCGAGAAAAGTGACCTCTCTCAAACCACTGGTTACTTGGAAAAAACCATGTGCTTTAAAGGTAAACACAGCTAAGACTGAGCTAGTTATCATTACCTCACTGTCTTGCAAGCCATGTAGACACACCGGTGAACATAGTTGACATAGAGAAAGTAGATAATGTGCAACATCTGTTTTTCCCGGCTCGCTTGGAAAACTATTGTTTCAATAGAGATTTTACAAGAGGTAGTAAAAATAGGGGCTTTGGCTTAATGAAAAGCAACAAGAGGTTTTTACCCGAATGAGCTTCTTAATATCGAAAGGAATTGGTAGCTCTATATGTCAGTGTTGGTACACACGGGCTTTTCCTACTGGTAGGTTCACTTCCAATTGGTAAGTTGGTAAGATGGATTGGACGGATAAGTATATCCAAACATTTTGGCAACCTTGTTCGTTATTGTGCTTGACTTCCCAGTGCGAAAATGGTCACCGGTAACATCGTCACTAATGAGGATTTCGTGACATCGTCGCACTTGCTGTGAATCCTAAACGACATATACCTGACAATGATACTGGTGACAATGCATTCAGGTGTACTCCTATTAAAGACTTATAACAGACTTGAATGTCATCGATGATCACTGCCTGACAAAGGCATGCAGATGACATCAACGACAAAATTACCATTTATATGTAAGAGTCATGAACGACTTCCATATAAATGGAGCCCAAAGTCATTTAAGACGTAACTTTTCCGTACAAGACACTTAAGTGACTAATGTGCATGACATTCGCCACGGGGGTTATTTAAATTGAGCTGAACTACAAGGTTGTGATAAACTACATATACATATGTATGTACAGTCGGTGTTAAATGTAAGTGTACACCTTGTTGTAATATAAAATTCACAATTATTTTCATGAACAATTTTTTTCATAAATATTAAAGTTTCACATTTTATATAAAGTTTTTATTCAGAATCCTAGAAATTATCGTTTATTTTTTAGAATTTTTTTCTGGAGGATGTCGCGCGTTTTCTTCCATATAACGCGTTATCAAAATCTATTTTTATATGGAAGAAAATGCCCAAGAACGTCCACAAAAAAAAATTCTAAAAAATCAATGGTAATTTCTAGCGACTTGAAACTTGCACTTTATTTTACTAAAATTGAACGGAATACAAAACTGCATACTCGAAAATTTTCTATAAAGTGTGAAACTATGATTTTTATGGTTTATGTTATAGAATGAACTATATTTAGACATTTAAAAGGTTGTGAATAGCGATAAAATATTTTAATATTTCTTTTGTATTAAAACCATTTCCTCTTTGACGGTAAAATATATTTTATCGACATATGCTATTTGGTTTGTCTGTGAAAGATAGACTTAAGTTGTTTTGTTGAGAGTGACCTTTGGTATTTAGAATTTCTACAAGGTTGCCACCTTTCTAAAAAATTATAAGATCTTCACCGATCGTTGAACTAAAAAACGAGTAGGAAATGAAAGGATAATATCCATATTATCGTCTGTGGATGTGCAATAAGCTTTTATTTTTTTTAGTGCGGTTGCCACTTTTATAAAAATTACCACCTTTCATATAATACCTGAAGGCATTTTTTGTTAGCTACATCAGATTTTCACAGTTCATTCAATTATAAAAAAATGAGGTGTCCAATGAAAGGGCTTGGCCCATGTGCAATAAAGTTTTATTTTTTCGAAGAGAGTTGCCACCTATGCGAAAGATTATATGATGTGGGCTGTTCGTTGGACTAAAACTGAGTTGTCAAATAAAAGGACTTGGCCTCCAGATGTGCAATAAGGTTTTATGTTTTTGAATAGAATAAAAAATTATAAGATGTACGCCGTTCTTTGCATTAAAAACATGAGATATCAAATGAAAGGCCTTGGTCATTAGGTGTGCAATAGCGCTTTATTTTTTCAAATAGGGTTACCACTTTTGTATTTTCTCCAAATGCGTTTATGTACATACATATATACACACCCAGCGCGTGGCGAAGCCGGCTAGTTATTGATAAATGTAATTCTGTAAAAGACGCAATCGTAAAATATAATAAAAAGTTCTGATGAATGAACCCTGCAGAAAAAAAATCAATTGATAAAAAATAACCCACTTGTAGTTAGCTTTTTTGCGGGATTTCTATAAAATATATAACTTGTAGTTAGCTACAAAAAGCTTACTTGAAACTAGTAGGCAAGTAATGCAGGAGATTATTTTCTTTAAACGCGTTTCTATTAAAATATCCTGCACTTCGCAAATACTTTTTCGAACTGGGGACAAATAAAAGGAAGATCGAAATTTCATATTATCATTTTGCAGTTATAGCTTACGGAGTTCGAATATGGGACCACCTACAGCAGAATATGTAAACAAATATGAAATGTAATAAAATAAATAAAGTAGATAAATAAAAAAATAAAAAAAAATATGTTGTTCTTCCAATTGATATTTTATGTCCAAAAGTAGTTAGTTACAAGTTAGTTACATCAAATGCAGAGGTAACTACCCTGGACTATTTCGCAGTCATCGCCATAGAAATATAGTTAGCTTTCGTCAAAGAAAATATACAGATAATAGTGACTTTTAGATTCTTCCTAATCAACTTAAAGTTAGCTTATAGTTAGATACATTTCCTGCAGGGCAATATATATGATACGTAGCACGAATACAAGTACACATGTACATATGTATGCACATATTACTATGAAGGTAAAATGGAAACCATATGGGATGTATACATATGTGCATTACTGGAAAATACAAGTAATATACAAAATTTAAGAGAAAAGCCAGTGCAAATAAACAAACCAACCAAATGTGGGTGGAAGCAAATGCATATTGCAGATGTGAATTTTATCCAGCGTATGATGGTGGTCTATCCTATTATATCGAGGTTTTAGAAGACCGCAACCGGAGCATACGGCAGACTGAGGCTAAGATATATATACATATACATATGAACATATAAACTTATTTATACATATGTATGTATGTGTATATGGAATATATATTCAAGCGAAGTCGTGCTGTGCAAATTGTATTTTATGGCATTTATGAAACCCTTACACATGTATATAAATGTTTAACAGCTGTTTCAGCTCCTCTGAACCTTCCATCCACGTTTATTAAATTTAAAACTGCTGAGAACCGAAGCCAACACGCGCCACAAGAATAACATATTTGCACAAAACTACAAACCTATGTACGTATCTATACTAATATATATATTTTGAAAACCATTTTTTTGTGTTCGCAAAGCTCGCGAACGGCTGAACGGATTTGTTTGAAATGTCGGACACCTACCGCACACGTCCCAAGGATGGTTATGGGCTAAAAAATTTCGATATATAAAGGGGGCGTGGCACCTCCCATACAAACCGAATTTTTCATACTGTATATCTCTGGAAGTGTTCATGGTAGAGTTCTGGAACTTGATATGGAAATATACGAAATCAATCGCATACTCCTGGATAAAAAAGTGTTAGCTATTGGAAAAGGGGGCGTGGCACCTCTCATACAAACCGAATTTTTCATACTGCATATCTCTGGAAATATTTACTGTAGAGTATTGGAACTTGGTATGCAGATATATATTATCAATCGCATACTATTGGCGAAATACTATTGGAAAAGGGGGCGTTGAATGGTAGAATACTGGAACTAGGTATTTCGGTATAGGAATTCAATCGCATAACCTTGGAGGAAAATTGGAGCTATTGGAAAAGGGGGCGTGGCAACTCCCATACAAACCGAACTCTTCATACGGCATGTCTTTGGAAGTGTTCATGGTAGATCAGATAGCGCAAATTGGGGATATTTGAAAAGGAGGCGTGGCACCCATACAAAACGAATTTTTCATACTGGTACAGTACTGGAACTTCGTATGGAGATATGTATGTATACTCATTTTTTGTGTGTGTTTGAGTGGGTCTTTTTATGGATGGTTTAGTTTCACAATTTAACCCGCCAGTTGGAGCTGAGTTGAGTTACTACTAAAAATCTTATTTATGATCCGATTTAGCTAATATTTAACAAAGTACAAGTTTCAAATTACTAAAAATTACCGTTACATTTTTATATATTTTTTCTTTGTCCAGGATGCTTCGATTTACATCCATATAAAAAGAAAATATATGGAAGCAAATGGGACAAAAAAGAATTCTAAAAAATCAACCGTAATTTTTAGCCATTTGAAGCTTGTAGTTTGTTGTACTAGAATTCAATGAGCTACAAAACTGCATACTCAGAATCTTTCTAGGAGATCTAATTAAAAAAGTTAGAAATGTTTATGAAAGTTTGTTGAATTTTTTTTTTTAATATTGCACAAAGTTTTAAACTTGGATTTGCACGGGTTTTGTTAAAGAATGAACTATATTTTTATAAAAAAATAACCAAAATAATGACAATAAAAATAATATGTTAAAACTTGCCAAAATTTGGTGCGACTATAATAATTTCGACCACTGTATATATTTGTAACAGTAAGAGCAATACTATTGCAAAAAAGTAATGCCAGGTGGCGCTGGAGTCGAGTTAAGTGAGAAAAGGTGTATTGGGAATACATTCGAGGGGCCGAAAAAAAAACTGAAAACCATAGTAACAAGAGAGGATGTGAAACCCAACTCATTTTCGAAGGGAAACAAAAGAAAATAAATCTCTCTTATTCAAATTTTAATTGGATAATGGGCTGGACTTCGAATACATAACGAAGGAAAAATACATTGGATAACGAAGGTTCCGTTTTGTTGGAGAATGGCTTAGTTCTCGAATCGAATACTAATCTATTCCACATTAGTTATCTAAAAAAATATTGCTTTTCCGATCGTTTTCGAATTTTTAACCAAGCCCAATGTTTATTGGGTAAATATTTCTATGGGCAAAGCTGCAACTTGATGCTGCGTCAAAGTGCTTCCTCGTTTACCATTACTGCACAGCAGAAAACTCCTTCTAATTCATTGAAAAAGTGGGCTTAGCACAAATTGCAAACCGCTCCGATTTAAGTGCCATGAAATTGCTTCAAGTGAAAATATTCCACAAAATCCAAATTTTCTAAGAAAGTTACTGTGGCAGAAGCAGACATATAAAATCTATGGCATTTGGTTGAATTCGTTTGAAATAAGATGGTTTAAGATGACCTAAATACAACGTGCGACACAACAAAATTTCGCTTGAATTTTATACAATTGTCTGTATTAAAGAAAGCGAATCGTATTGTTAGAAAAGGAGTAAAAATTATGCTTCAATTGCCTCCAAAGATAACTACAACTTTTTTTATAACAAGTAAAAACTTCTCAAATAACAGGGAAAACAATTGTTGTGAACTTTTAGTAGTGCTTTCTTAGTTTTAAGAAAAAAAGTTACTAAAAATCTAACAATAAATATTTTTTAATTATTTATAGAAAACTGTGCTGCGATAGAAGTTGTGTACTCCTACTAAAGCATAAACGTATCAATACCACTTTTTTCAAAATTTATTTTTTGATGCAAAATGGCAGATAAAATTTAAGTTATCTCTTTCCGATTTAAAAATATTCAAAGGTATAAAAGAGCCAATCCTATAGTATAGTTGATTAAGAAAATGCGCATGCATAGATATACAGGAGAAACTATTCAAACGAAAAAGTGTCAGTGGCTGAAAATTCACATTTTTTGCAGAAAAAGTTCAATAGTACCCTACAAATACAAGTGTCCCCAGCTTATTTCAACTGAAAAACCTGAATTATATATATATCTCATGATTCACTGATCGGATCTTAACCAGATTGGTATGGGACCACCTCTGAGACACTACCTTTCCGATGCAAAAAGAATTATCGAAATCGGTTGACGTGGTCCAAAGTTATGCGGTAACATACATAAAAAAAAAATTAAAATTAAAAAAAATATAAAAAATATAAAAAAAATATTAAAAAAAAAAATATTCCGACGAACTGATAACCTCCTCCTTTTTTGGAAGTCGGTTAAAAAACAAGTAAAGAAGTATAAGTTCGGACGAAACCGGTTTACGTGGTCCAAAGTTATGCGGTAACATACATAAAAAAAATAAAAATAAAAATAAAAATAAATATAAAAAAAATATAAAAAAAATATTCCGACGAACTGATAACCTCCTCCTTTTTTGGAAGTCGGTTAAAAAACAAGTAAAGAAGTATAAGTTCGGACGAAACCGAACATTAGATACCCGGCGCACATATAAAATATCGTTTTTCACCTTTCAGTATACTTACGGTGACCATATTAACCAACGTAAAATAAAGGACTTTTTTCAAAATGATTTGGGAATACGTACATACAACTTGTATGATAAAAGTACCTTACCCATATCGTTTAAATCAAATATTCACCAGTTAATTATATTATTTATATGTACAAGTTCCCCTGCTGTAGCGAAAAATTAAGCCAAATCCTTTTCAAGAACTTCCTTTGCTACCAAAATGCGTTTACCATAATTCATACTGCACAACGAAGCCAGCACACATTGGTTCAAAATTGGAATTGGAATGTTCATAATGTACCGGAGCCTTCATTTTTCAACCAATTTTTACTTAAAACCAAAAAAATATTTATTTTGGTGAACATTTTTTATAAGATTTCAAATTTTTTTGTGTATTTTTTTTTTCGGGAGAGCCATACAATTGTTTTTAACTAGTTTTTTTTTATGTAACATTTATTAACTGGAACCGGAAAATACATTTTCTTCAAAATTACTACTTTATCTGCATTTTGCACTAAAACATTTAATATAATCAAATAAAAGTTCAGAAATTAGGCTCAACCGGTCTGTTGCAAATATCGTAAGCTTTCATAAAAAAAATTAAAATTAATCAAATTAAGTGAAAAATTAAGGCTCCAGTGAATTACGAACACTAAATGCCAGTTTTTAACCACTGTGCAGTAGGGGATTTATTGTTCTCTTTCAGTGGAACAGTGGAACTTTCCCTACACTTCATAGATTGTACAAAGATTACGGATTAAATAGAAACCCTTAAGTGGGGTGCGAAACAAACTGGCAAAGGTTTTCATTATATCTTATAAGGGACAGTTTTATTTTTTCATATTCTGCGTTTAAAAATTTATCTCTGAAAAATGCAGAGCCGATTTAAAGGACAGTTTAAGAAATAAAGGACAAAAGGCGTCCTTTATTTTGAAAAAAATTATAAAGGACAGGGGGTTAAAATAAAGGACTGTCCTTTTAAATAAAGGACGGATGGTCACCGTAAGTATACTGCATGATAAGCAAGGGGTATTTTTCAAAACAGTTCGATAATATGCTATGATTTATTGAAATAATTGGACCAAGTTTGGTGGAAATCGGTAAGACGGTTATCGATATACATTTATGTAGTCATAAGTGGGTGGTGCCACGCCCATTTAACCAAAATCAAAAATCTTGTGTCTTGTTAAGTGATCGTTGTAAGTTGGCGTCTTTAGTCTTTAGTTATTGAAAAATCTGAGTTTTCTGAAATTTACCGTTATATCGTAAGTGGCAGTAATTTTAGTCCGATATCAGAAATTTTCAGCATATTGCTTTTTTGTGCCAAGGTTGATAAATGCGCCGAGTTTGGTAGAAATTGATAAACCGGTTACCGATAACACACATATGTAGGCGTAACAGGGCGGTGCCACGCCCATTTTCAAATAAATTTCCTAAGTATCATTTCTTGCTAAGAGGTCATGGCATATATTGATTTTGAGCAAATTAGCTTAAATAGTTACTAGTTTATCGCACTCTTCGTATTTCTGTAAATTGCGGTTATATTGGAGGTGGGCGTGGTTCTTGTCTGATTTCAAAAATTTTCAACGGGTTTCTTAGTCAAGCCCTAAGTAATGTTCGCACCGAGTTTGGTGGGACATCAATAGGGGCTCGGCAAATTCAGTAATAAGTAAAAATTGTTATCTTAGGTCAATACATAAACAGTGTGCGAGATTATTAATTATAAAAATACAAAAAAAAAAATATTCTTTTCGTAAGAGATTTGTAAACAAATTAGTTAAGCAGGAAAAAGATTAACAATCAACTCGCATGTCAAACGTAAAATGTACGTAAATTGATTTTTAATGCGCTTACTCGCACTAATTAGCAAAACTTTTACCAATAGCTATATAAATATGGGGCGACGAAATGAGTTAGAATACACACTTCACATTCTACAATTATCACTGGGATACATGGATATGAGGAAAGTTGCACTACTTCCAATCCTATTCATCCTTTCAGTGGGCGTGACAACAAATGCTGCTCCAGGCAATAGCAGTGTCGCCGGTAGCTTGCTCGAGGTACCACAAAGTCGCATTTATGGCGGGCAGAATGCTGCCGAAGGACAATTCCCCTACCACGTGTTAGTATTACGGCACGCTGATGGATACATCGCCATCTGCGGGGGTGCGATCATCTCGCGAAATTATGTTGCCTCAACGGCATCCTGTATACAGGTGTAAGCTACTTACATACACATACATATCTAATAACCAGCATTTTTTTTATAAGCTCATCTCTTTTTTAGTGATTCCAACACATCCTACTCAATACGTGCGGGTACCGTAAAATTCAACTCGGGCGGCGTAGAAGTTCAAGTAGCTGAGGTGAAAATACATCCTGAGTATAGCTCATTTAATAACGATATAGCTTTACTAAGACTCAGCAGTCCACTAGATTTCAACGATAACATAAAACCGATACTACTTGGTAGTACTGAGGTTCCTGAAGGCTCATCCGTCACTATAACCGGCTGGGGTGTAGTGTCGAGTGGTGGATTGGCCGATGTATTGCAGTATAATACAGAGCAAGCGCTAAGTCACGATAACTGTGTTAAGCGTATTGGCAAATTGGCTGATTCAATGAGATGTTTCGCCAAGAGTACTGGTAATGGTATTTGTGATGGCGATTTTGGCAGTCCAGCAGCTTACAATGGGGTACTAGTTGGTCTAGCAACTTTCACCATTAACGATTGTGGAAACGATATACCAAATGGATTTGCCAACGTTGTTTTTGCAAGAGATTGGATTCGGGCGAATTCTGATGTTGATTGTACTTGTTTTGCTTAAAATAAATATATAGATACTTCAAATTAAAAAAGCACTACCAGAAATTCACTAAATTTTTTACGGGGTTTAAGTGAGTCAATTTTTGTAGGTACTTGAATGTTTTATTTGTTTATATTAAAATTTTTTAGAGCAAAGGGCAGAGAAAGTAGCAATTTTGAAAAAAATCGATTCTCCGGTTTAGGTAAAGTAGTAGTAGTAGTAGTAGGTAGTTGAAAACAATTATAGTGCTCCCCAAAACGAAAACAAATCGCACAAGAAAAAAAAAACTGAAAATACTTGATATGGAACAAAATGCGTCAGTAAAAAAAATTTTCAAAAATCAACGCGAATTTTTTAGACATTTGAAATTTGCACATTATTGCACTATTATTTAATGGACTAGAAAAGTGCATACCTGATTTTTTTTTTAATTCTTATTAAAAAGTTTGCGATTTTGCTGAAACTTTGCAGATTTTTTTTTAGCTTTCGTACATAGTTTCATTCTTGGATTTAAATGGGGTTTTCTTCAAAATTGATACTTTGTCTGCTCTTAGCAGTAAAACATTTAATATTAACAAATGGAAATTAAAAGGTAGCATCTTAAACCTCTTCAGAATTTAATTATCTTTCAAGAAAAATAAATGAAAATAGATTTTGATCATGCGTTATATAAAAGAAAACGCACAAAAAAAATCTAAAAAACGGTAATTTTTAGCGACTTAACACTTGAACCTCATTAGACTAAAATGGGCTACAAAACTACTCGAACATTTTCTAGAAATTCTAAATAAAAATTTAAGAATTTTAATGAAAATTTGTTAAATTTTTGTGAACTTTGATTTATATGGTTTATATCTGTGTTCGTATGGAATAATAGCATATGTCGAAACGGTGGCTTTGGTATAATGTAGCATTCGCAGTATACGATTGCGAATGACGCACTGGGGCCGAGCCGTTGAAGAACTTTTGGCAAATAAACGTGCAAGAAATAGTTCCGATACTAGCAAGTCAATATTCTTATTAAGAGTCTCATCAAAAAATTCCTTGTCATTTAAAAAATGTAGGGAATGCCGCATTATACTAAAGCCAGCTTACCGACATAAGCTACTATTCTATACGAACACAGATATTATAGAATGAACTATATTTTCATAATTAATTAATGCAAAAATTGTTTTATGAAAATAATTGTGAATATTCAGCCTCATTGCGCAAGTCGTAAATTAGACTAAACGGAACGACTCAACAACATTGGCATTACCTAACGTCGTGCTGAAATAAGTAAATGACGAAAGTCGTCGAAAACTATCCAGTGCTGCGAAGTTTTTTCGTTTTAATTCATTAGTCGAGTGGAAAATTTTAGCCATCGTCATGCAATTTTGAAAAGACTACTCTCGAAGCAACCCTAGCCGTAAGTGCGCAATTACATCGCGCCATTGACTAAACCGTGCTATCGTATGTTACGATTGGCCCCATGGATGCGGTTTGCCAATATTATATTGCGTCTAAGTGCCATTCGGGGATGCCAGGATTGTATTGTGTAGGTCAATGCCTAATTACCTTCCTTGACTCATTTACCAGAACCATTGCCCCATTTACCTTACAGCGATTTGACAAAATCAATAGGTATCCAAGAATGTCAATAAATACAACTATTCGGCATTTAAGGGAATTTCGTCTCTTTATCCTACATTGAATTTCTGTAGGCCAACGATTCTCATCCATTTTGTCTTGCTGTCGCCAGCGAACGCAGAACAAACATTTCTTCAAATTTAAAAGGTAAAAATTTCACTACTAAAAATTTAAAAATGTCCTAAAACTTGCAAAGAAATTTGGAAAAGAAATATCAGTGTTTTTGTTTTTAGGAGTAGGTTGAGAGTGTCATTGATAAAATTAGAGGAAGAGAAAGTTTTTCCTACAAAACCTGTGTTGTTTACGAGAAGTTTATTATACATATGCAGGATATCTGTTATTTTGACATCTCAGCCAGTTACGTAAATATCGACTAAAATGTGTACAATATGGGTATCAAACAAAAGATTGAATTCATATTTGCAATTTAGCATTTTATTTGTACATACTATTAATATTATATCTTCTAGACGTTTATAAGTTTCGCGCCTCTGCTAAATAAAATAAATAAACATTTTCAAGTTGACTGACTTCAATTCTAAAATCAATTGGAACAAAGTATCCCGCCACACTTTTTAAAGAGGTTAACCACTTAGCCAATAAATTGCTGGAGCTCCACCCCCAGTCGCACCTTTTATAGCTAGGAAGCCTGATAAGAGGCAGGTCGATCACCGGCAAAGATTTTTTTGTTTTTATGTGAAAGCTTCAAGAGCAGAATAAATTATTATAAATATTGCAAAAAAATATAGCAAAAAAAAATTCTCTTGAAATGCCAAGGCGATCACATTTTATAGGCAGTTATCTAATGTGTGAAAACTTTTTCTTTGAAAACGTTGTAAATAGATTACCCAATCGGCAATTTATCAACCATAGACAAAGCAAATTGCGAATGTAAGCTAT